AACGTTTTATAAAACAAATAAATTGTGAGAACTTTTTTTTTGTTTAATATTAAGTACTTAGTGTAAAATATAAATTTCGTAATTTTAGTTTACTTATAGAAAGAGATGTTTTGAGGGTGCGGATAAAACTTGAGTCACCCGGTATAGTATTCCAAGTTTGGAAAAAGCTAAATCAAATCATACATAGGATGTTTTAAAACTCGCACCCTAGAGAAAAATACTAAGATAAGATACCAAGAACATGCAAATATGAAAAAAATTAAAAAATTCTATCTATATTTTACTGAATAATTGTGAAAAAACATACAAGATCATCGGTGACATTAAATAAATTAAAAATTTTAGAAGGTACAGTCAGTCAAAACTTGTGCTGTTCTCTTTACTTTTGCCCGTCACTGTACCACAATGATCAATTATCAGTTTTCGCAGCCCACTTTGATCGATTTGTTTGTTTTTTTGAAAAACTCGCCATAACTAGTTCACTCCCGGTTGCATAACAGTCACGTGATCGCAATGAATCGATCCGACTTGTCGAAACCGCGTGTAAACATCCATCATCAAATATTTAATGTGTGATTGAAAATGTTTCTCGACTAAACTTTCGCACTAAGTTGGTCGTGACAGGAGTCGATCAATCTAGCCACCCTTGAAAAAACAAAAAAAATTGCACCACCTTCGGGGTCCTCCCCGTCGAGGAGGGCGTCCAACTGCTTCTCGTCGTAGGTCTGTCCCAAAGTGGTCAAAATAGTGCGGACTTTTTCCTTTTCGATGCTGCCCTTTTTCGTCGAATCGAACATCGAGAAAGCCCTCTTCAGCACTGAAATGAAACAAAAGTTGCTGAAAAATCGACCCAGATGATTAAAAACAACGGAACAAAAGAAACTCGGGGGAGATTAAACCGGGGTATTTATTAGCCCGGTCCTGTCTAAAACACGTGGAGGGAAAAAAGTTTCGCCTCCATGTCATTATTTTCCAGCAAGTTGGAAAAAAAACTCATTTCTAATTGACTCGGATTTATTTATGAAGTGTCATTGCGATTCATGTGCCAAGCAAAGAGACAATTCGTTTAAAAAATAATCTATTTGCGCGCCAACTCTTTTTGATCATGCAATATTAAAGCTGAAAGGAGTTTATTTGGATTATGCTTTTTGAAAATGATCGCTGAAAGAGATATGAAAGCTTGCGATGTACAATGGATTTGAAAAGTCGAGCCAAAAATACGAGATAAAAACGGAATGAACTTGAAAATGCGGCGCTAAAAATGGAACGAGGAAAAATTAAATCAACAGCGATTTATTAGTTTTGATCGTCGGACCGGAATATACACACATTCTTGCGTGCTTTCTACACAAACAAGCAAAAATTCGGGATTTTAAGAACATTTTCATTATTTTTAATAACTGAACTGAGAAATAATACATTGAAACAAAAATTTAAAAATAACACTCAAATAAAACTCTTATTGGAACAAACTTATTCATATTTTTTTCTTTCATTCAAAGGTAATAGTCATTTTTTTCAATCAGAATTTGCGAATTAGATAGTGTGAGTTCGACACATTAATTTTTCTAGAAAAATTTCTACAAAACATTTTCGAATCCGATATAATTTGTAGTTCTAATTAACTAATTAAAATTAACCAATTAATAATTAATTACTGGATTACACAAAGTATACATTTAAAATATAGTCTAAGGCCCAGTTAACAGAACACTTAGGCGCAATAACATTTTAATAAACGATTAATTAATTCTAATTACGAGTAATTCAATTTTTAGTGGTTTTCTGTGAATTGGCTTTTAATTACTTATTTTATTAATTATTAGTGATGTATACATGGTGCGCCAGAACTTACGTTCTAGAGAAAAATGGTGGGGTAAGATAGAAAAATATGTTAAAAAAATTTTATCTAAAAAAATTTCGAAGTTATAACAGTTTAAATTTTGCACTTTGACTCTATTTATTTCTATTGGAAAAATAATTTTCCAAATTTTTTTGATGTTGGCACCTTCACTAAACAATTATAAAAAAAACATATACAGGGTTGTTCAAAAAATCGCGCACTTTCGTGACACTGTGCCCTAGACAACAAGAAAAATGTTACAAAAATCCTTCTCTAAAAAAAAACGATCAAAACATCAATTTTTAAAGTAGTAAGTACACATTTTTAGTTTCTAAGAACCTCAACTTTTTGGATTTGCAATTCTCAAATTTTGAATTATACAAGGTGCGCCAGAACTTGGGGCTAAGTGAAAAATGCCATGTAAGATATCTTATTTTCCTGGTATCTACCAGGAATATGAAAAAACTGTTAAAAAAATTCTATTTATAAAAATTTCGAAGTTATGAGAGTTTAAATTTTGCACTATGACTCGGAAAAATAATTTTCCAAGTTTTTTTGCTACAGGCTATAAGAAGAGGAAACAAAGAAGCTCTATCCTAAATTGTAACTCTGTTTAATGTTATTTGAAGCTTTTATTCAAAATTTTTGTACCTTTACTAAATAATTATAAAAAAAATATATACAAGATCATCAGTATCATTAAATAGACTTAAAAAAATGTCAAATGTCAAAAAATAAATAACAAGTTTTTTTGACAAATAGAATTTTTTAAACATTTTTCCAATACTCTCGAGGACTACCCAATTACTAAAATGCGCGATTTTTTGAACACCCTGTACAAGATTATCAGCCTCATTAAATAATCATAAAAAAATGTCAAATGTCAAAAATTTTTGACTGATAAAATGTTTTAAACATTTATTTCATGTTCCTGGTATTTTATCGTACTTAAACTTTTTCTTTAGGGCGCAAGTTCTGACACCTTCTATGTATAAACTATTTACCAAAAAATAAACAAACAGACAACTCTTATCTTAATTGTAATAAAATAATAACTTTTTAAAATAAACTGAATTAATCAAAAGGTTAATTTTAAATGCAAATAGAGTTATTTTTGCTCATTTTTTCATATTAGTTAAATAATTATATTTTTATTTAATTATGTTGTGTAAAGTGCAATAAATTACGTACTTTTCAGACTTTTTCTTCGTTTTATCAGGTGTAATAAATCTATAAAAAGTTAATAATTTAGAAATCAATCAGAAAACTACGTAAATCATATTAATATAATTTGATAATTATAATGGCCTAATCGAACATTTTTTCTTTATAGCCAACATTAAGACAAACCATCACAATTTGTATTGTATTTAGTCTTTTTTTCAATAAAGTGCGAAAACCTAAATTTACAGTGCCTTTCAAACAAAATTGAAGACAATGTCGCGTTAGCTATGCCGCGCACTGTACCCGAAAAACTATTTTTTCAATTTTACACCCAATTTCCCTTTTAATATCAATTTAAAATAGAGTAGAATTTTTCGAGTGGCTAAACAACCGACCGGCGAGTAAACAAACGAGTTAATTTCATTCAGAAATACGAGCGTTTTAAGTGCTTGAAAATTTTATGAATTGTTAAAGTGCAAGTAGGAACGTGCCGATTTGTCAATGTCTCGACCTAGTGCACTCATTTTTGTTTCCACAAATAGTTGTTCCAACTAGAAAATTAATAATTCTCTCGATTTGTAATCACAGCACCCACACACTCAGTTTTGTTTATCACTTGGAGGCTATTTTTAGTGAAATTACCATTTTTATTGAGGAAATCTACTCACGTTTGACTTTTTCCTTATCCAATCCGTCGGCCTGAAACAGATACGGAWTCAACATTAAAACCCTCAAGATGCGTTTAATTGTGTGTGTGTTTCAAAATCCGTTTAATTACACTCCGGGTATCCTGCCACGTTCCAGTTTATAATCTGCGCGTTGTTCCGGAGGTGAGGCATAAATCCATCAGTCCGGATTAACCCGGAGTCGAAATAAATAAATCCAACTAACCATAATTTAGCTAATAACTCGACAATAGCACCATCAGCACGCAATACACGAAGACTGATCCGGCTTTCGGACCGTTTTCACTCTTTATAAGTCCGGGGGGGCTTTCGCCTTCCACACCCGCATAAGAAACTCTCGTGTGGTAGAGGCGGGGTTTTATATTTAGCGACGACGGTCGCAATCGACTATAATTCAAATTATAGGTGTTGTGGTGTCGTCGGAGAATTTGGCGATTCTTTTGGATTTTCCGATCGCTATGTTGGCAGCAATGCGCTCAAATGAAGCGCGACCCAACTAACAAGCGTGAGGGATTTTTCCAAAATTGGCACACAAAAGACACCTCTTCGCGTGGTTGGCCATGATTTTGGCCAAATCGACAAAATGACATAATTAATTATTACTCTATTAAATATCAACAGTGTTTCAAAATAATTGCAGTAATAAAAAATATAGTTATAATCGATTAAGAATTGCACAGTTTGAACACTTATAGGGATCACCCTGTATACAGCAACGAAAAAAAAACACAAACTCTTTATTACTTGGTTAGCCATGGTTTTAGCAAAATTGGCAAAAATGTGGAAATTTTATTTTTTAATCATCTATTTAAAAAAATATTTGATAAAAACTATGACGTCATTAATTTATTTGTTCGTGAAAGATGTATGTCAAAAAAATAATTACAATAATAAAAAATAGTTATACCTACTCGTAATTGTTTAAATATTACACAATTTGGACACTTTATAGGTATTATTACCTTGTATAACATAAATAGTTAAAATGAATGACAAAGCACAGCTCTGTTTGTATTGAAAAAAAAAAACAAGTACGGACCTGAAATAATAAAAAAACAGAATCATTCTTTTCGATAACATAATCCAGATCCGTACAATTTTTTTATAATTAAAATTAAATGAAACTGAATTTAGATTTTGTATATTTTAAATAATAAAGTCAAGTCAGATCAGATCTACAGGGGGTTAAAAAAAGATTGTTAAATATTTTATGAGGTAATCAAAGTAAACAAAAATGTCTTAATAAACATGGGTTTGCAAAGTAATGGTGTCGGAGTCGAATGTGAGAATTTTTAGAATTGTTACTAGAAACTTCTTTTTTTGTGCAAATAAATGTTTTAAATAATTTTGATATCTCCGAAAACGTTACTTTGCGGACCCATGTTTATTAAAACATTTTTGTTTGTTTTGGTCCATACTTTTACCTTCTGAAATATTTTAATATTTTTTAACACCCTGTATACATTTTGTGCAGTTAATTCGAAAAATTTGACAAATAAATCTTGAATCACCCTGTACATAAACAAAAAAATTCTAGATTTAAAATTTCACACAAAAAGTTTTTATACAGGCTGAGCCAAAAAAAAATTAGTAAAGACCAAACAAAACAATACTTACACCTTAATAGCAAATAAGATGTTAATAAAAATATTCAATAAAATCTAATACAAATTTTATACTTTTAGTAATAATTAATAAAGTTAAGCCAAGTCAGGTCTATATGTTTTTTAGACTTGCTCAGATAAAATTTGAATCACCCTTTTTATAAACATACACAATTTTTAAAGATTTAAAATCTTACAAAAAAATTTATCTCGGAGAATAGGTCTCTTTTATAGGGTACGTCGTAATTAAAAAAAATTACTAATTTTTTTTTAGACCAAAACAAAGCAATTTATCTAATACACCTTAGTAACAAAATATTCAGAAATAGATTTTTTTGATTTCTATTCCATTTTCAAAATGCTTTCTTCCAGCAACATCCTGTAACTTTTCAAAAAAACATTTTGTTTCTAGTGTGTTGAGTAAATTGCTTTTTTTGGTTTAAAGAATCTTTGGTAAAAAAATTACACTAAATTATAATTCACTCAACAATAATTAATGTACAGGTYGTGACAAAAATAATTTGATGTGTAAGTCAGGTCAAGTCTACATAATTTTTTAGAAATTTGGTGGATACAGGGACCACCATGTAGATAATATAAAATATTTTAATTTTTTATATACTTAATTTAATCAATATTTAAAGTACAACACAGTTAAAAACAACAAGAACTTGAATCATGTATATGTTGCTTAATCTTGGACCCATAGTGTACCTACAAGAAGTAGATACAAAACTTGCAATTTTCGTCTTTTTCATGGAAATATAAAAAAAACTGTTTTTTGCATTTTGTTGTCTAATTTCTCAGAAAAAATATTTAATTTTTGTTAATGTTCGACTCAATGGCTAATGTACATTCAACAACAAAAGTAAATTGAAATATACGTCGCACTGCGATCCTAGTTGTACTCGAAACATTTAATGGGACAGTGGCGTAACATAAAATGAGGCCACTTTTTCAAATAAACTTTACGTTTAAATTATAGTATTTTGCGAGGTATTTTTATATTTTTTAGTCTCAGGAGTTGCAGTTTTTCTTTTTTTCCTTTTCTAGTTACGCCACTGGCGTGCTGCAAATTTTCCGCTACAAAAAGCATAAAATCGGGTCATAAACAATTGACAAACTCCTGAAAATAAGATGGCAGTAAAATTTCAAGCAGATGGCTCATAAATCGGAGCAAATAAAAGACTGATTGGTGGGAAATTGGGAATATAACGAGTATTTAACGTCAGCTTGAATTAGCAAAGTTTATTTAAGTTTAAAGTGAAGCTTGGAATGGTTTTGCGGATGCGGTTATTTTACTTGATGGGACAGTTGCATAAAGGATAATTAGACTGAAAGCTTCGTGACAAGATAATGAGATTTGGTGGAAGTACGAGTATTAATCCTTATTTCAAAAATTTACAATTCTCTAAGAAAACAGAAATAAATTTCAATTTGACTCGAAATTTTAATCGTTTTTTTATTTTTCTCAACAACGTTTTTAATTAAACATTTTTAGCAAATAAGGAAACCAACCGTTCGTGTATAACGCTCCTAATTTCGTTGTTTAAATGTGTACACTTCTTTCAGGGAAATTACATCAAATACCTTCAGCTATTTTCAGTGTTTACACAGCTTCAGCAAGATAATTAAATCGAACCGATTTCATTAAATAAATAAGTTGATAATTACCCAAAGGTGAACGTCTTTTGTGAGAGTTTTAAAATAAGCGCAATTCTTCGCATATCTCACGAAAAATTTGTTGCCTCAACTGTGCCAAAACACAATGAAGTAATGAATTTTTCAGAATTCTTTTCGTGTTGTTGAAATTCATTTTCGAGATAAAAATGCCACTAATTCTTTTTTGGTAAAACACAACTTTCTGAATTTAATTTTCTCGTGAAGGAAACATTTACAATGATAAATAAAACAGTCAGGAGTCGGACCATAATTCTTCGTAAATAAATTCGACTAACTCCCATTAATAACGCTCGACGTGGAGAGTTGAAAAGCAGATTTTATCGAAATAATATAAATAGATAAATGAGTTATCAGCTTAAACTTTGATCGATGCAAAGCTATTATTAATTTACCGAATTTCAAGCATTCAAGAGAGAGAACAAGTCGAAAACTTTTCAAAAATTGAAAGAAAAAAAATCAAAGGTGTGGTATTCGTTTATTAAAATTAAGATAAATGGTTACTAAATTATCCTGGCCTCGTGTCAAAAATTCCGTCTCGGTGCAAATTAAAACACTTTTCTTCACGGTTCGGGTGGGTTTTTTCTCTTTTTGATGAGGAAATAGTTTTCACACGTGGCGTAAAAAATTGGACAATTAAATCTATCGGCATGTTTTTCCGTTTTTTGGGGGAGGCAAAAATTTTACCTTTTTGAAAGGTTACATATATTTTTATTGTAATTGTAACAGATGAGGAAAGAAGATTTGTTACCTCACTGGGAAGTAATTGGCCACTTTCCTTTTTGAAATTAAGGTGGAAAAACGGATTTTCTGTTAGGGTCGTAGGAAAATGAAAATTTCAATTTCTCCATTTTTCTGCCACCAAATAAATCAAAATTATTACTCCACAAAAACATAAAGCTTGCAATTCCGTGAAAATATATCCCAACATTAGCACTTAATTGTGCGTTTTCTCGGTTGCGGTTTTTCGCTGATTGCGCCACGCAATCCAATTAATTTTTCCAATTTCCACGATTGGTAGAAAAAATACATTTAAATCAAAATGTTTGTTGGGGAAAACAGTATCTCTTTCATTTATTTGGCCATGAGTGGAAATATGAGATGGCTAGGGTAGCAAGAATTGCTTTTGTTTCTCCACAGACTTAGAAATAAACATAGAGTGTCGTTTGCTTTACCAAAAAAGTACCTAATAATAAAAAAGCGAGCTAGTCGGGGTTTCACAGAAATTGATTCCCGCCAACTTGATAAAGTGCACTAATCGTTCACACTACTGAAATTTCGAAACTACAGCTATCTATTTTATCGCAGTCGATGATCGCATCTTGATCCCCCGAATTGGGAATTTTGATTGCAACTGTCTGGGATTGTTTTGGTCGTTGTTACATGATATTGTGGCGCCAAGAAGGAGGGTTGAAAAGACGCGGAAGTGGCCACGATGTTGCAGTGTAATAAATTTTTTTGTCAAAGTTTTGAATGGGTGATAAAGTCGTAAATAATTTGTTTACACACGCTATTCGATCGATTCGTAATAACGGGAATTATTCATTAGTTTCCAGTTACTGACGACTATTAAAATTAAAATTAAAATGTAGAAATCAGGAGCTAATTACGGTTTGTGGACAACTAAAAGCAATCAAAATAAAAACGACTATCTGATTTTATGGAAGTTTTTTATTTTGTAGACTTTATTAATATGTATTTAGGGCGCATTTCAAAAAAGTATTTTTGATTATACAGAACCTTCCAAAAAAAATATTTTTATTTTTTTTAATGGCATGCTATTATTTTTTGTTGCATTTTTAGTTACTTACATTTCCAGAAGATAACTGCAAAAAAAATGAAAACCAAAAAAAAATCGGTTAATTCATTAATACCTAGTAGGCACTTATTAAATAAAATCTAACACTCTTATTAACCAAATTTGATTGATCCGATTTACTACAGGGTGTGCAAAATTTACTATCAAACTTAAAAGCTTTTTATTATTTTTCTTATTTTAATTAAATTGGAGCTTCTATTTATTTTTATAACATTATAACATTCAACAAAAACTCGTTTTGTCAACTATTTTAATCACATTTGTAATCTCGACTTTTAATCATTAAAATTGTCATGAAAATAGTTGACAAAACGAGTTTTTGACAAATAACTTCAAATGTGTTAAGATTTAATATAGCGTTGTATTTAGAAAAATGTTCGGTTTAAATTTAAAATAAAAAAATATAAAAAGCCTTAAGGTTTTAAAAATTTGATAGTAAATTGTGCACACCCTGTAGTAATTCGGATCAATCAAACTTGGTTAATAAATAAAACTGTTAGACTTTATGAAATAGATACTTATCAAGGGGGCACTATTTTGTATTTTCATTAATTTTTATAACTAAAAGTGCAAAACTGATTTTTTTGATTTTTATTTTTTCACAGTAATTCCTGAAACAATAAAAAATATGGGCATGAGTAAGTAATTAAAAAGGCATTTTTTGGGACCTTTGGTATAATCACAAATATTTTTCTAAAATGCACTTCAGAATATACATAAAGTGTACTATATATCAAAATTTTAACTTGAATTATGCGAGTTGAAAGTAAAAACCTTGTATATACCTACCTACAGTGCCTTAATATACTATTTTAATTTAATAAACCATAAATTATTTTGCCACGAAAACAAATTATAATTTTCAAAATTATTAAAAAATAAAAAAAGGTGTTTCAATTCGGAATCGAACCTCAATTTTTTGAGTTTTAAGCTTTGATATGCCTTCTTCTTGTCTTAAAAGTATTTAACCGATCAAATTATCAATTTTTAAAGTAGTACACATTTTTAGTTTTTAAAAACTTAAAAAAAAAGTTACCTCGATCTGGAATCGAACCTCAACTTTTTGGATTTGCAATTCTCAAATTTTGAATTATACAAGGTGCGCCAGAACTTGGGCCTAAGTGAAAAATGCCATGTAAGATATCTTATTTTCCTGGTATCTACCAGAAAAAAACTGTTAAAAAAATTCTATTTATAAAAATTTCGAAGTTATGAGACTTTAAATTTTGCATTTTGACTCTGTTTATTTCTGTTGGAAAAATAACTTTCCAAGTTTTTTTGCTACAGACTATTAGAAAAGGAAACAAGAAAGCTGTATCCTAAATTGTAACTCTGTTTAATGTTATTTGTGGCTTTTATTGGCAAAAAATTGGTTTCTTTACTAAATAATTATAAAAAACTTATACCAGATCATCAGTATCATCAAATAGACATTAAACATTTTTTCCATGTTCCTGATATCTTATCTTACTGGAAATTTTTCTCTGGGACACCCTGTAGGTACAGAATGCCTCACGTACAACTTTCGGGTCTAATATCTCCGTTATTTGCCAACGATTTTTATGAAACTTAAAATGTAGACAATTTTAAAGGTTTTTTTTCAAAAACAGATTTTTGTTTAGGTATCTATAGCATTTTTTATTTTAAGTAATTTAGCATTTTTAAAAGGCATGTTAAAATCATATTTTAAGAGTTAGGCTTGTTTTAGTAATATGATATTAATCTCTACCTACTAATAAATTCTCTACATTTTAAATATTGTTAGAATAATGGAAAGTAATGGAGATATTATTAGATCCAAAATCTTAGGTTATTATTATAACTTTAGTTTAATTAGAAAAAAATGTTTTGAGGAGTGCGCTTAAAACTTGTCACCAATTTCTTATTTATTCACTTTTTTGAATGAATTGTCATTTTCATGGCTCAGAATTTATTCAATTGTTGCAATTTTAGTGTCTTTATCGAAATAAAATAAAACATAACAGATTTTATTTTGAGTGAGTAAACAAAGCAATTTAAAATAAAAATAATGAATGAGAAACTAGCGTTTTTATTTCTCAACGATTCCTCGAATCGCTCTTTGTCTAAAAATATGACAAATGAATCATTCTGAATCGGGTGCATCCGTGAAAAATCAACAAATTGTAAATTTTTTCGATGCGAAAACAGGAAATTGCATCAAAAGCACAAAAGCGCCATTAATTAATCAAAATTCGAGCCAACTATTCCTTGCAAGAATCATTTCACTTTCATTAGGAAAATATTTTGGTCGTTATTTTTAACCCTTGTTTGTAGAATCAATACGGCACGCTCTATTTTTGTAAATTTTGGTAAAAATAGGCGTTTGGTGTTGTTGTTTCAGGCCCGCAATAAGCCGGCAGATGGTCACGTGGCTCAGAAACTGCAAGCAGGTCAAAGGACGCCGACTCACGGTGCCAAAAATGGTCCCCCTAAAACCCCCAGTAAGCCTTCGCAGAAGAATGCAGCACAAAAAGGACAACCGATCAAGCAGGCGCCGGCTAAAGCTGCAGCTGCTGCTGTTAATAAAACTGTGAAGAAGACCAAGAAGGGGAAACATCACCAGCACGACCTCATCGTGACTATTAACCTGGTGAGTGGCGTAACCGTAACCTGGTTACAGCGATCTTGAAATTTTCGAGTATTTATAGAGTGGGAAATGAGTCGGCGAAATAGGAGCAAGTGGACTGAGTAAATGGGCCGACAAGGTGCAATAATTTATTTCGAAAAAAATGTAAATCTTCAAAAAAAAATTAATTGAGTATAATCGAAATTATTCAAATAAAACCGTTTTTACATCGTCTGATCTTACTTTTATTTTGCCTTCTTGCATATTTATTTACGTTTTTGGCACAATTGCATTTTTTTACTTTTCCGTTTTTAGTTTCTTATATTTTCTTTTGCATGTCCATGGTTTGAAATATTTACGTGTTTATGTTTACGTTTACGTTCTTAAGCTTTCGCATTCTTACGTTTACGTTATATGTTCTTTCAAAAGGTGAATACGACTTTACGTTTGCATTGTATGTCGTTCCTTTTTTTAAATTACTTCATTTTTACGCTTACGCTTACGTATTTAAGATTAATCATTTTTACGTTTACGTTTTCAAACTCTTATAAGATCAAACGTAATAAACGTAATTACGTTTTTCTAGTTTCAACTTTTACGTTTACGGTCTAACAATGTTTACGGTCTTACGTTAAAAGTAAATACGTTCTTCTAGTTCCCACTTTTACGTTTGCGTTCTAACAATGTTTACGGTCTTACGTTACTGTTTAAATGGTGTCTGTATTGCATTTTTTCACTTTTCTCTTTTAAGTTTCTTATATATTTTTATGTTTACGTTTGAAATATTTATTTACGTATTTACGTTCTTAAGCTTTCTCATTCTTACGTTTACGTTATATGTTTTTTCAAAATGTGAATATACGTCTTTACGTTTGCATTGTATGTCGTTCCTTTTTTTTTTGATTACTCACTTTTTACGCTTACGCTTACGTTTTTAAGCTTATGCATTTTTACGTTTACGTTTCTAAACTTTTATAAGATCAAACGTAATAAAAGTAATTACGTTCTTCTAGTTTTTACTTTTACTTTTACGTTCTAACAATGTTTACAATCTTACGTTACTTTTTAAATGTATCTGTATTGTTCCGTCTTTGTACTTTCTTAAGCTTGTTTAAGTTTATAACTTAGGTACATTATTACTTCTACGTCTTTATTAAATTTTTATAGTAAGTACAATAATATTATTAGTTATTAATAAAAAGTAATATTACGTTCTTATTTTGTTTTTCTTATTTTTACTTTATAACTTTTTATGGATACGTCAATACGTTTGCTTTCTAACCTTACATTAATGCTTTTTTTGTTGTTTTTTCGTTTTAGAAGCTTCGTTTTTAAGATTCTCTAAATACCTATATAAGTGTGCATTCTTCTCTTTACGTTTACGTTTAGAAAGTAATACCGTAATGTTATTTTTGGAATCATACACTTAACGTTAATCTGGAAAGTACTATTTTACAAGACCAGTTCTTTAAGTTTCCAGACTTGATACGTAAATAACTATTTCACGTTGTAGCTTTTTACGTATTTATTATTATACAGGCTTTTAAAATGAGATTGTAAAATATTTCGGGAGGTAATACTATAGTATGGACCAAAACAAACAAAAAAGTCTTAATAAACATGTAACGGTTTCGGAGATGTAGACAATTATTCGTTTTTTGAAACATTTATTTGCAGTCCGTTTAAACAAAAAAAGAGAAGCTTCTAGTAAAAATACTAAAAATTTTTACATTTGATATTTTCGAAACCGTTATTTTGCGGACGCATGTTTATTAAGATTTATTTTGGTTCATACTATTATCTCCTTAAATATTTTACAATCTTTTTTTAACACCCTGTATGTGAATTCTAACGTTTACGGTCTTACGTTAATGCTTAGATTGTTTTTTTTGAATTGTTCTAATTTTCTGCTTACGTTTTTACACTATCTCCTTAAGCTTGTTTAAGTTCATAAGCTCTTACGTTTTTACAAAAAAATAAAGTAATTATAAAAAAGAATTACGTTTTTACTTTATTATCTACGTTTATCTACATTTACGTTACAACTTTTTACATTTGTTTTTAACGTTTACGGCTTTACGTCAAAACTTAGTTTCTCCTTAATATGTTTTTATGTTTTAAAATGATTACTTTCTTACGCTTACTTTCAATAAAAAGTATTACTTTTATACGTTATATTTTTCTTCAAAACATTACATATTAAAAGAATCTTAAGCAGAGGCCATTTAAAAAACTATTCTTTACAGTTCAGTTAACATAAATTTAAAAAAACATCAAAATTGCAATTTTATATTATTTATGAAACAACTGAAATTTTTTGGAAAAACTGTGTACATACAGAGTGCGCCAAAAGTCGCGCCCCAGAAAAAAATGCCATGTAAGGTAAGATACGAGGAACATGGAAAAAATGTAAAAAAAATGAAAATTTCAAAGTTATGAGAGTTTAAATTTTGCACTTTGACTTTATTTATTTCTGTTGGAAAAATAATTTTGCAAGTTTTTTTGCTTCAGGCTTTTAGAAAAGGATGTATCCTAAATTTTTTTTATTAGCAAAATTTTTGTTCCTTTATTAAATAATTATAAAAAAAAACATACACAAGATCATCAGTATCATTGAATAGGCATAAAAAATGTCAAATGTCAAAAAATAAACGTCAAAATTTTTTGACAAATA